TCAACCTGGCTACATGGTTTGCTCTGCCCTTGGGGAATGCCCCTCCCAAGTCACAGCCCTCTCAAGCTATAAGCAGTGGCTTTTCCATGTGAATGGCTGTTCTCAGCTCAGGCTGCAATCTTCCTACATCCTCTCAAACAAGTGACAACCAGCCTCAGCAAGGCCCTAGCAACCATACCTCTGGCTAAGTGGCCTCAGGCCTGGCACAAGCAGCAGCTAGCTTTGGATCACAGTTTGGCTTCACCTGGGAACCTCGAAGTCTAAACTGGGAACCTCCAAGCCCAGCACAAGTAGCAGCCATGTACAGATTGCTTTGTAGTTCCTGCTGGATGGCCCTGGGTAGAACACAGGTAGTGGCTGATCCTGTCCTGCACCACCCAGGAAATCCCAGAGGCCGTGCACCCAGTGGATAGCTACAGACCATATTGGAGTACTACCACCCTGCTGCTACACAGCTGATCCTCCACGGAGGGTAGAGTTTGGTGGTCAGTGGTTGCAGCCAGTCCTGGCAGCTGACTGGCCTGGAAAATCACTCTCATTGACCTGTCAACAGCAATGAAGGCTCAACCTCAAGAGGAAAGTGTACTCAGCCCACACAAAGGTTGTACCCAGCTTGGGTAATAGGTTAGGCTGTGCTACTGGACCCTACTATATTAGGCCACACTAGCAAGACAGGGAGTCATAGAAGCTCTACCTAATACATAGAAACAAATACAGGGAGGCTGCCAAAATGAGGAGACAAAGAAACATAGCCCAAATGAAATAACAGATCAAAACTCCAGAAAAAGAACTAAACAAAATGGAGATGAGCAATTTATCAGGTGCACAATTCAAAACACTGGTTATAAGGATGCTTAAGAAACTTAGTGAGGAAAATAAATAGCATAAAAAAGACACAGGCAGAAATGAAGGATATACTAATAGAAATAAGGAACAATTTACAGGGAATCAGCAGTAGAATGGATGAAGCCAAGAATGAAAGCAAGGATATGGAACATAAGGAATAAAAAAACAACCAATCGGAGTAACAAGAAGGAAAAAGGATTAAAAAAAAGAGCATAGTGTAAGGAACAACTATCAAGTATACCAACATTTGCATCATAGGTATGCCAGAAGGAGAGAGAAAGAGCAAGAAATTAGAAATTTGAAAAAATAGTGAAAGAAATCTTTCTTAATTTGGTGAAGGAAATAGATGTGCAAGTCCAGGAAGCACAGAGTCCCAAACAAGATTGATGCAAAGAGGCCAAATCCAAAACACATCATAATTAAAATGTCAAAGGTTAAATATAAAGAGAATCTTAAAAGCAGCAAGATAAAAGAAGTTAGTTACCTACAAAGGAGTTCCCACAAGACTGTCAGCTGATTTCTCAAAAGAAACTTTGCAGGATAGAAGGGATTAGCAAGAAATATTCAGAGTCAAGAAAAGCAGGGACCTACAACCAAGATTGTTCTACCCAGCAAAGCTATCATTTAGAATGGAAGGGCAGATAAAGTGCTTCCAAGACAAGAAAAACCTAAAGGAGTTCATCATCACTGAACCATTATTATATAAAATGTTATCAGAAGTTATTTAAGGAAAAGGAGGAGGTCAAAACTAGAAACAGGAGATGGCAATAAGTACATATCTATCAACAATTGAATCTGAAAAACCAACCCAGAAAACAAAAAGTACAGAGAGAGAATCATGGATATGCAGAGTGTTCTGATGGTTGCCAGATGGGAGTGGGGCTTGGGGAAATGGGTGAAGAGGTGAGAGGATTAAGAAGTACAAACTGGTAGTCACAGAATAGCCCTGGGAATGTAAAATACAGTACAGGAAATGGAGTAGCCCAGGAACTTATACCATGACCCAATGACATGAACAAAGAGGTGGGGATTGCATGTAGGAGTGAGGGGTGATGGGGGAAAAGGGGGAAAATTTGGGACAACTGTAACAGCATAATCAGTAAAATATAATTTTTAAAGGTAAGAAAAATGCCTTTAGCTTAAAAAACCACCACCATTTCTAATACTTTTTAAAGGGCCTTTTTGAGAAAGTGAAAATTATCTTGGCATTATATTGGTCATACGCACTGGGAAAAGTAAACATTATCTAAGGGACTGGAAGATGTTTCTTGATTTTTGCCTTTAGTATCCACTGATATGCTTGGTTGGGTCCTAGAAGCTCAGGTGGAGAGTTAAAGGCCAGCAGTATGTTATCCAGTTTATATTATCAGTGGAGCTGGAAATAGGACAGATGCTGGAAGTGGCAGGAAGGCTCCCAAGAAGGCTGATGAGGTACCAAAAAGATATATTTTCTGTTGTAAGTTGTTTATTTTGGTGAGCTCCATAATGTTTACTCTCAGGAAGGTCAATAGTTACACAGATATTTTTAATTCTTTTAACAGCTCTGAAGGTTAAGGTTTTAAGACTTTCTCTATCCCAAAAGGACTTAATCTAGTATGTGTATTATGTAAAATATGGTCCAATATTAAAAGAAATATTTCATTTGAGAATTCCACAATGATCTATAGGTGGTCATTCATTTCCGAACAAATCCTACCCGTTAGCTGTATAGCCTAGTGGCGGAATGCACAACCGTCAAAGTAGACCACCACTATCCTGGCTCAGCTACTTATTATGTGTGTGGTTTTGGGAAAGTTATTTAGCCTGTCTGTACCTCAACTGCCTCACCTATAAGACAAGAATGATAGTATTTCCCTCATATGGGTGAAGGGAGATACCCCGAGTAAGGGGGACAGAGTCATGCCAGTTATAGAGTGGCTAATTCTTGTTAATATCTGATTATTTATTATTTCTATTTTTATGGTCCAAAGTCTGGGCCCAGGGGTGGTAAATCACTCCCCACTCACTATATTGCTAGACAGTAGAGAAATCAGTAATAGTTCTTTTTTATTCCTCTAAAATGATTTATGTTAGAATTCGAGACTTACTCCATTGCCTTTTGTAAATAATGCTAATACTAGTTAAAAATATCATGGTATCATATACAGCTATTTCCATGACAATCATAGTAATAGCCAGCTTTATTCTAGACTCTTAGCTGAGAATTGGATTATTTCATTCTCACAAAATCCTAGTTTTTCAAGAAAAAAATTCCTAACAAAATTTAAAGGTTAGGAAACTGGGGCTTAGAGAAGTTCAATAACTTGCTTGTAGTCACATACCTAGTGGATGTCAGTAAGAATTTGAACATAAACTTACCCAAATCAAAATGGCTACAGGTAACTTGGAGGGTAGTCCCACATTACCATTTATTTATAAATGATCCCCAAACTACCCATGTTAAAAATGGAACCATGCTGTAGAATATACACATGACTCTGCTCAAAGTCCATTCTTCATAATTTACAATAAAAAAAAACACATTGTAGTGAATAAGAGCTGAAAGCTTTAACTTGGTACACAGCTCTTGAATCCTAGTTGAGTGTAATTTTCTCACATCTAGGGTAAAGGTTAGCTTGGCCACAGTCTGTGGTGCTGTGGCATTCTTTTTTGGGCTGTGACCATGAAAACTACTCTAGGAATGGGGTTGAAATGAGGCTGTGCACCCTCATACTGTCCTGACATACTGTTTTGACATGTAATGTGCTGTCTTTGTGCTTGCAACTAACGTGGACCTGTCAAACTACAAGCACAAAGCAGCATTCAGCCTCCCTCCTGCCCTTTGTTCCAGGAAGAGTTTCCTCTTTCAAGTTCCCTAAGAACTAGCGTGTACTCACTAGTATCTGCTCTGGAGGCCAGAGCTATTTCTTCATACGTTTCGGGCAGGATAAAAAGTAACCACAGATTTTTGTTGTTGTTGTTTGTAGTCACGACAATTTCATTCTTTAACATTTTGATACTGGCATTACTTTCTCTGATTTCTACGAAGCCTTCCCTGATTTCCATTTGCTTGGTAATACACCCAATCTCTGTGGTGCTCCCATATCCTTACCCTTTCTACTCATAAAATGATTGTTTTTAAAGCCTGTCTCCCTCTCTAGGTTGCACTTGCAGACAAGAATCATGTCTCATTTAAGGGTGATCATAAGTACCAACATATGGAGTGGTAGAAGGATGTATTATGACAGGGAGGGCATTTGGACATTTTTAAAAAGATTTTATTCATTTATTTTTAGAGAGAGGGGAAGGGAAGGAGAAAGAAGGGGAGAGAAACATCAATGTGTGGTTGCCTCTCACACGCCCCCTAATGGGGATCTGGCCCATAACCCAGGCATGTGCCCTGACTGGTAATCGAACTAGTGACCTTCTGGTTTACAGGCCTGTGCTCAATTCACTGAGCCACACCAGCCCGAGTGGTATTTAGACATTTTAATTGGTTGGTATAAGTGTAAACTGGTTATTAAATACTCTCAGTATCATGTGTGGCCTTATAGCAACACTCAGCATAATCCCAATATCTTGCACATGGCAGGTGCTCAGTGCTTGTTGACTTAACAACCAGTTTCCCGACTCGATGCATAGACACTGCACACGTCAGAATCTGACTGGCAACTGGATCTGCCAGTGATGGCATCAATGATCATGAAACTTTTAATTTTTTTATTGCTCATCCAAGGACATTTTTTTCATTGCTTCCAGAGAGAGGGGGAGGGACAGATGAAGGGAGAGAGGGAAATATTGACTGGGTGCCTCCTGTGTGCACCTGGACCAAGAATTGAATGAGCAACCTAGACATGTGCCCTGACCAGGAATCGAACCCACGAACTTTTAGTTACAGGACGACGCTCCAACCAACTAAGCCACATCAGCCAGGGCAATCATGAAACATTCTTAATATTCAAGATCCCTCGACCCCTACAGATTCCAATGACACTAACGCCCTAGAAAGAAATAGTTGCTCATGCCTCCATGAGGCCTTAACATGGTTGCATCAGAACGACTACTCTCTTTGAGGTCTTGATCCTGTGCCAACACAAACATAATAGTAACCAAAGCATAATGACCAAGATTGATGGTCACTGTGCCCTCTGTGTTTGGAGTAGTAGAGCCCTTACCTGTCTGTGTTGTTGGGAGACTTGGTATCCCAGTCCTGTGACGGGCTGATTCTGCATTTTCTGAAGCAGGATCTTTTGCTGAAGTGGCAAGGGTGACCTTAGCAAAGGCTGGTTTGACAGAGGTTGGGTGGGCGGCGGTGGTGGCTGCTGCTGCTGCTGTTGCTGCTGCTGCTGCTGCTGCTGTTGCTGCTGCTGCTGTTGTTGCCGTTGCTGCTGCTGCTGCTGCTGCTGCTGTTGCTGCTGAGCTGAAATAGAGCTCTGTGGCTGCTGCTGCTGTTGCTGAGTGTAGTGTAGGAGAGAAGGCTTGTTCTGAGAAGGCAAAACAGAAGGCATCTGTTGGTTTGCTTGATCTGAGTTAAAATGGAACAAAGGCTTGGTGTTGCCAAGACGGGCCTCCATGGCTGTATGCGAGCTGTTAATAAAACTTCGACTGAGATCCTGAGGCTTCTGCTGCATGAGTGCATCCAGGTGCCCTCCCTGGGCCGAGGGGCTGGCCTTATACATGTAGTTAGCCATGACTTTCGGCTGGCTGCTGCCGCTGGCTACCCCAGGCATGGGGGAGCTCTGTGGGCTGAATGGCTGCTGACCAAAAGAAGGGCTGGGGATTTTCTCCTGCCCAAATGGACCTGGAGATGGTCCAGCAGGAGAGGGCAAGGCTGACCAGTTAGTAGGCTGGTGCTGCTGCATCCGGGCATGCTGCTGACGGTTGGCAGCTATCTGTTTGAGCTGTTGGGCGTGGGATACTTCCTGCCAGCTTGGCAGGGCCCGGCTTGCTCCGGAGGCTGTCTGAGGCTGAGCCTGGCTCTGAGGGACAGCAGGAACTGGGGATGAAGTGGACAGAGCCGAGCTGGCCATGGAGAATGCAGGGCCAGTTGATGGTGGCCTCAACTGAGGAGAGCCCGACGGACCCTGGGTCAGACCAGGGGAGTATTCACTTTTGATCACTGTCTTCTCCATAGGCAAGGAGGGCCTGGGAGTGCTCCTCTGGCTTTGCTGACCCAGGTCAATGCTAAATGGATCATCCTGCTTTATGGTAGCATTGATCATGTTCTCCAGCTCAAGGTCACTCATAGGAGGCACAGATATGTTGGTCAGTTCATTGAACAGTTCTTGCAGTTCAGGATCCATCAGTTGCTCTCCAGAGTCATCTCCGTACCTGTTAGGGAAAATATTCTCCTGGGTCATTTGGTTATCCATGTGCTTACTGCAAGACAGAGTCTCTCCTGGCTCCTTCTTCACTTCTTTTAAGCCCATGTTAAACATGCCATTGCCGGGAGAGTGTGTGTGGGGAGGCAGGTTGTTAGTCTTTCTCAGGGTTGCTTGGCTCATGGGCAAGGTCGCTGACATAATCTGACTTTGTCCGTTATTTACTTGGAGGCCCCCTTGTCCTGCGGAGAGGTTCTCCCCAACACGGATTCTTTTGATATCAAGGAATGAGCTGTCGACAAAGCCATTGGGCCTCTTGCTGTTGACAGGAGACAGGTTAACTATCTGTTTTCTTTTCAAGGAACCCTGGAGCTGAAAAACAGAGGGAAGGTAAAAAAAAAAAAAAAAGAGATATTAATCCAGAGGTGCTTCTAACCAAAACTGGTATATTAAAATGTTTCTTCCATTTACAAACGAGATGAATTTTTTTTTAAAAAGCACAAATGAAGAAGAGTCAGAAATATAAGGGAACTCACGGTGGCCCAAACAGAAAAAAATAAAATGTGTCTGAAGGAGCAGATCAATTAGTGACTAGAGATCACTGCAGCTCCCACGGTTACCCACAGGCCAACGGAGAAGAATCCTTCATATATCATCATGAGTTACTGATAACACCTACACTTAATCACCAAGGTGTTGTCGCTGCTTTCAGTCTCAGGCCAAAATACCCCTCATGCACACACACACAACCCCGCACAGCTACAGAAGACAGGCGGAAGGTCAGCATTGACCCAGAGGGAAAACACTGAACAGTGCAAAGCTGGGACACAAGTTCCAGCTGTTTTTTTTCTTCACAGACTCAACCCTTTCATTACTATTACCCTCTCAGTAAATACTTAGAATTATTGTTGTGTCCACAGAGATATGCTATCTGGTATTCATCTATTTTTCCTCCTGTAATTCTGTGGCTTTGTTTTCAGGCCTAAGCAGCAACTCTGTGTGTGCGCATAGAAACTGAGGTTTTACTATTTATCGAATGAGACACTGTGAGCACAGATTTTCCTGGGGATTTATTTCTTTGGTTGCCTGTCTCTGAATCCGGTAACCACAGCCGAGGTGTAGAGAGGCAGTACTGTACAGTTTTAAAGATGCAGGCTTTGGGAGCTGAGGAAGCTGAGTAAATTCCAATTTTGTCACTAAGTGCTAAGTGACCACGGCACTTGACATAGCTGAGTCTCAGTTTCTTATCCAGGATATGGAGACAGTAGCACTTAACTCATAGGAAGAAATGAGAGAATGCACGCAAAAGTTCAGTCCGGTGCTTGCTATAGTAAGAACTCAATAAACTATAGTTTAAATAAAAATTATGGTTCACTATATGCTCAAAGGGGAAGGTTTCTCTAAATAACAACAGTAACAATGGAATGTTAAAGTATTTCATTCACTAACTCAGTCATTACATTGTATGATATAAACTTCAGAAATTCTAGAGGAAAATTTAAGTTACAGCGACCACACGGTCACACCAATAAATGAAAAAAGAAACATAAACATTCATCATTGATTTTGAGATCCTTGTTGATTTGCCTCTAAAGTGAGAGACAACATGGAGCAATGTGTGGATTCTCCAGTCCAGCTGGCCTACTTAAATATTTAATGTTTGCTCAGGATAACTGTAAAATACCTGAGGCAAAAGGATACCTCCCAGATAGAAAGTCCTATCATTTCTCTTTTCCTTTATTTTCACTTACTACCACTCCACCACCCTCCTAAAGATCTCTAAATAATCTCGTCAAGAAAATGTAACTGAGTGGTCATTACACACCACGTATTTTAAATATGGTTACTTTCCCTCCTCTTTATAACAGCCCCATCAGGTGTGTATTATTTTACAGACAAGGACCCCAGGGCTCAGAGTGGCCACTTAACTTCCCCAGTGTCACGCAGTTAGAAGGTGTTCAGCCTGGGCTTTAAGGTAAGGTCTGCGTAGGTCTCGAGCCTGTGTCGCTTCCACTACATTATGCTGCAATGGGCTTGTTTGGGGCTAGGGTTTGCTCAGCGAGAAGGGGCAGAAGTGAGTACAGAGACATCCTGGGTCTCTGGTAAAATGGTGAGGAATCTGGGGGTGGCCAGGATGCAGCACGGAGCCAAATGTGAGCAATATGTTTCTGGTCATACGGTCTCTTTCAAGAGTACATTATCTGTGATTTTGCCCAATCACAGGTGGTATACAGTTGTGGTGATGTGCCATGGGGCTATAACCGCTTTTTGGCTTTTACCATTGCTAACTGGTCATCAGAGAGCCCAACCCAAGCTCCTTTATCCAATCAGTTCCTTCCATGGTAATTCTGGAGCTGGAGAAAAGGAAACCAGGTTCTCTTTGGGTGGCTGCATAGTGATTTAAAGTGTGAGCTGTTGTGTCATATGTCAAACAGAGCCAGAAAGTAAGTCTGCAGAAAGAGAGAAGAATGACTCATGGAGGAGAGACACAAGTTTTGATTGCATTTGAGGGCCTGATTCCCAGGTCAGCTCTGCATTTCTCCTTATCTTCCTTGATATAATACTCTGTAATCTTTAGAGTAAATTCTCCTTTTTGCTTAAGGTACTGTGAGTTGGACTTCTGTTATTTTCAACCAAGGCTCTCAACTAAGTCCCATGTGACTTCACGTTTGGTCATGAGCAATTTGCGGCACGGGATAGGGTATGACTTGTACCTGAGTGTGCAGCTTCCCACTCAGAGAGACTCTTCTGAGTCTCTCTGTGTTTCTGGGCTCCTAAGCCTGTCTACTCACTGATGTGAGCGACATCTTCACAGAACACCGTCAGCCATCACCGCATTCAGGGTCTGTCCTCACAGGGCAGAAAGAGCACAGAACAAAGAGATCTGGCCATGCTCCCTCAAGGGTGGCCACGCTGATTTATCTCAGTGTAAGTCACATTTTGAAGGTTCTTTCACAACTAATAAAGAACAAACAAAAGAATGCATTCTTTTTTCCAGGTTTGGGTTATCACCTTTGATTTATTTTCCACTGCTTTCAAAAAACCTGTTCCACCAGATGCTCCCATTGCTCTGGCCCCTCCCCAGGCAGCGCAGTATATACTCTAGGAAGCAGCACCAGCACTTTCTCTCAGCCGCCAAGAACAGGGAGGCAGTGATTATGCCTCCAAAATTAGCAATGGTTGTAGTAGTACTGATAATAATAATAATAATAATAACAACAACAACAACAAAATCATTTATTGAGGGCTGTGTGCTAGGCATTGTGCAAATCTCTCCGGAGCAGTAATCTCATTTGATTCCCACAACTCTATGAGATTGAGACTACTTGTTGCTTAGCGACAGGGATACATTCTGAGAAATGTGTTAGATGATTTCATCATTGTGCAAACATCATAGAGTGTACTTAATACAAACCTAGATAGTCTAGCTTACTGTGTCCCTTTAAAGCATTCTACTGTACTGAATGCTGTAGAAGACTGTGACACGGTTATAAGTATTTGTGTATCTAAACACAGAAAGATACAAAGAAATATATAATACCAGATAAAGTGTGTGGAGAGGGAGGGGCAGGAGTGGGCTGTGGAGGGAAGCACCACTGGAGCTAAGGAGAGCAGATGTCAGAAGGAGGGAGGAAGAAAGGGAGGAAAGGAAGAGAAGGGAAGAGAAAGGGAGAGCAGAGAGCAAAAGAGACCTGGAGAGATAGAGCTTGAGATGAGAAATAGTAAAAGGGAGAAAGGGTGGAGTGGGATCCAGAGATGGAGGCAGGGAGAGAGGAAGAGGGAAGGAGAGAGGAGAGAACTGAACTGGGAAGGCAGAGAGCAGGCCCCTGCGCTCCTCTTGCTCCCTCACCAACTCCAGCCCTGGCAGCGGGCAGGTAGACAGAACGCTGAGCTTCCTCGTCTGCTTAAACCACCCAGAGATAGCAGTAAATTCAAAACTGTCGCTGAGACCACGCTTTTCTTCCCATATCACAAAATCTGTTTATAACTCACTATAATCTTAGGAGAACACCATCATATGTGTGGTATGTTGTACCCCAAAACATTGATATGTAGCACGTGACTGTATTTCTTACCTACACCCTCCCCTTTTTTACAGATGAGAAAACTGAGGTTTGGAGATTGAGTGACAGTTCAAGATCACATCAATAGTAAGCAATAACCCAGGAATCAAACCAGGTACCCCCACTGCGGAGCTTATGCTATGCAGTAACTGGTACCCACAGCCATGTTTTGAGGAGGCCCGGGATCCAGTCCTGATTCTGACATTAACTTGCTTTGCTATTCTAGACAAGTTCTTCTACCTCTGTGGGCCACAGTTCACTTCTTTATAAGTAGGATTACCTCTGAGAACACTTTCCTACCTGAACCCAGAAAATAACAGGTACTGATGGAATAAGAATTGTTTAGGCAAATGTTTGGTTGTGTAAAGTCAACACCAAATAAAGCTGGATGGATGACTTAAGGTGCAGAACAGAAGTCTCCTTAGTGATGTTGTGGAAGACAAATACTGAATAAAAGAGATTTCTCTAGAACTGCATTAGATATGATAGTTTATCAAGAGAATTTTGGAGGTAGTCTGTGTCAGAGATGGAGGTGAGAGAGGAAGAGGGAGGAAGAGAGAAAGGATCTGGACTGAAAGCTTCTCACAGAAGCTTCTAATCAAAGTCATGTCACCAAGACGCAACAAATGCACAGATGCAGTGGGCATCAGTGACTGGAACGATACTATGTAAATGATTCTCAAAGTTCAAACTTTACTTTGGAGTACTTCCTTTGCTGAACTAAACATTCATATCAGATACATGGCTTTGAGTCATGGCATAGAGTCACTTAGAGTTCGGTAACTAAAAGCAACTATTCTAGGAGGAGTAGAGGAGGAAGAGAGATAGTCAATAATACCTTAGTGAGAAGTAGTTTATGAGAAAATTCAGTGCCACCTTACCAGGCCAAGAATAGTCCTAAGGTAGTTCTAAGGGAATAAGACTCAATCAGGTAAATGATGGGGAATGAAGATGTAGGTTTGCATTGAAAAGGATGAGGGCAGGACTTAGAGGGATATTGGGAACTGCCCAATGCAGTGCTAACAAAGATAATCTGGAGGAAAGGGGAAGTGTAAGGGCAGTGTGTACCCCGAGGGCCAGTGCATTCTGTTACTCAGAATGCGCTGAATAACACTGGAAGGACAGAGAGAAAATCAGGGCTGACTTGTCCATCAGGCATGGTCGGCACAGAGCCCAGAGTAGTTTGCCGGCATGGGGCCCATGGTAGTTTTAGCAGCCTTCAAAAATATTTTAGTTTACTTTAAAATAGGAGAAAAAATGTTTAGGTCAAAGAAATGTTTTCATATACAAGAGTAATACAATATTTAT